CCTAACAACATGCTAACAGGCTAACTCTAACAACATGCTAACAGGCTAGCCCTAACAACATGCTAACAGGCTAGCCCTGACATCATGCTAATAGGCTAACTCTAACAACATGCTAACAGGCTAACCCTAACAACATGCTAACAGGCTTACCCTAACAACATGCTAACAGGCTAGCCCTAACAACATGCTAACATGCTAACCCTAACAACATGCTAACTGGCTAGCCCTAACATCATGCTAACAGGCTAACCCTAAGAACATGCTAACAGGCTAGCCCTAACAACATGCTAACAGGCTAACTCTAAGAACATGCTAACAGGTTAGCCCTAACAACATGCTAACAGGCTAGCCCCGACATCATGCTTACAGGCTAGCCCTAACAACATGCTAACAGGCTAGCCCTAACAACATGCTAACAGGTTAGCCCTAACAAAATGCTAACAGGCTAGCCCTAACAACANGAGGCTGGGTGAGTCAGTGAGGCTGGGTGAGTCTGGGTGAGTCAGTGAGGCTGGGTGAGTCTGGGTGAGTCAGTGAGGCTGGGTGAGTCTGTGAGTCTGGGTGAGTCAGAGAGGCTGGGTGAGTCTGAGAGACGCTGGGTGAGGATGGGTTAACTAACTGCCCTAGTCGTCGGACTGGGTGGGGGGTCATCAAGAGTGTCTAACGCCTAAATAACATGCTAACAGGCTAACTCTAACAACATGCTAACAGGCTAGCCCTAACAACATGCTAACAGGCTAGCCCTGACATCATGCTAATAGGCTAACTCTAACAACATGNCAGGACGAGTGCGATGATGAGGATGGTCAGAGATGTGGGAAAGTGGAAGGATGTGTGGGAGTGAGATGCATTCAGCTTCAAAGAAGAGAAGATGGAGATGATGGTCCAAGCAGGAGAACCTCTGGTTCAGGATGGCAGGAAGAAGAAGGGGAGGAGAGCGCCACCTTATGGTCTATAACAGCTGCTGTTGATTAGCTAATTAGTTTCATGTTTGTTGCAGATGTTATTCATTCTGTTTGGGAAACCAGCTACTCATTCCTGTTCAAAACTTTTCATACTTGATCCTTTTCTTTCTTTAAATCAAATCAAAGAGATTGAAAAACAAAGTGGAAAGTAAGGCACCATTTCTTTTGTGTAAAGAGCAAAAGAGCAATATCATGTATTTTTATTATCATTTTATTATCATGTATTTTTATTATTTTCTTGCAATAAGCTGACTGAGAGCCGGCAGACATTCTGGAAAGAACAAGAGAGAGTATTTTCTTCACATTCAGGTTGAGCAATGATGATGTTTCCTCCAAATGTGATTAACCACATTAGTGACATCAAAGGTCTTTGGATGATTGAATTAATTATGTCAGTAATGTTTGGCTCTGTGTATACGGCACAACGGAAGGTTCAAAAACAAACTTTATGCTTCCTGGAGCAAGATGGTGGAAGAACGATGACCTAAACTACTGACAAAGTGGTATTTTTGGTTAGTTTTGTTCCCAACCTCGGGATGCCGCAGCCATTTTGATTCATTTAAAAGTGAATTCACCATGAGAACAGATCTGGGGCCGCCCCGCAGTCCGACCTGGGGGGGGCCACCCCGCAGTGTTACCTGGGGGGCGCCCCGCGGTCTGACCCAGGGGGGGCCACCCCGCAGTGTTACCTGGGGGGGGTACCCCGCAGTGTTACCCGGGGGGCGCCCCGCGGTCTGACCCGGGGGCACCCCGCGGTCTGACCCGGGGGCACCCCGCGGTCTGACCCGGGGGGGGGCCACCCCGCAGTGTTACCTGGGGGGCGCCACGCGGTCTGACCCGGGGG